GTGTGCAAAACTAAATACGGGTTCAAAACTGAACTAGGTTCTCACAATGGACATGTCTGTGAACTCGTTTTTGTTTTTGTGTTTTGCATCTCTAGGCCACTGTAGTCATTTGCTGTAATGTTGAATATTTTGAATATAACAGCAAAGATGACAGACAGGGATTCACTTCTATCATTCATAAAACTGTTCAGTTTATTTACATTTTTTACTACTATGTTACTCCTAGAAAAGCACTGCTCAGTTAGAGGGGAGGAGGGCGAGATGGAGGGGATTCAAATTATTCATGTTTTTCACTATCCGTTTGAAACTGCCCATGTGAAAACCTTAAAATATTGATTGGAAAAAAAGTGATCAGTCTGAGCACTCGGGTTTAGATTTGTAATCTTGCTTTTAAAAATGTGGATACATGATTTTTAATTTTGGAAAATTATACATCAGTGGAAGGGGGGTGAATACTTTTGCAAGCACTGTATTACCACAAAACAATTGTAAGTGGATATGTGGGCCTGTGAATCAAATATTTACTTGGGTTTATCAGATTTTATATGTAAATATAGGATATAAATGACCACATGAAGATCATTTATTTTTGAATGTATAAATTTAAGTATAGCAATTTAGGTCATTGTCATTAATAATTTATACAGTCATGCATTCAGAATAAAGTTTGTTTATGATATTCTGTATATACATCCTACAAGGATTTACCTCTTTCTTCATTAAAGTCAAATGATTATGCAATGTAACATTAAAATCCAGTACTAACGGATACCTGTTGGTTATCATGGGTGTTTTCATTTGTTATTATTGGAAGAAATAGCATTAACTGAGGCAATTTTGAAAGTTTTTTTTCATGTGTCTTTTGTCTGTGCATCATCTGCTGGGGCCTCAATTGTTCCAGTTATAAGGCAGAGCAGATGATATGATATTCTATACCAACTAGCGAGGGATGTACAAATATTTGTCATTATACCACTGACACATCACTGTTTAAATTCATAGCTGGATAGCAATGGAGTGGTAAATAATGTGTGTATTGCAGTAAAGGAAAAAACAAGGGGAAGAAGGACGACGAAAAGCAGAAAGATGAGGATGAAATTAAATCCCCACAGGAAACAATCACAGAAAACAAACCAGGGATTCCCAGTTCTGACTCCGCATTTCATGCACTGGTCTCGGAGGCCGCAAAAGCAGTATTGCCTCTTCATGATACA